AATGGAAACATTTTACAGATGATATGTGTGTGTAAGTATAAGTCTAACGAATCAAATGTAAAGAGTAAGGAAGATGACGTATTAAACTCTCGGTGGAAAAGACAATCATGTTATGACCCTCCACTATTTTGCAGAGACATAAAATGTTGTTGCTTGAAATATACTCTAGAATTTTATATGTTTCAGCATTGTGACATAGTTCTAAAACGCAGTTCAAATAACAGGAAATATTGAATTAGAATTGTTTGGTATTCTTTATACGATCCTGAATTATTTACAACGGTAGACGTTAAGAATTTGATTAAGTTGTCATCTCATCAGAACTCTTGCGTCGAGGTCAGTATCGTCACAGCGAAATATTTCCGTCATGTCTGACAAATTTGTTTGTAACCCAGGAGTATTTGTATTCCGCATCACTATTTTGATCAGGTGATGGGATGGAAATTGCAATGAATGGTATGTTCTATGTGAATTAGTAGCAGCAGATATCAATTTGGTTTGCAATGTTGCGAAGATAGAAAGGCTGGCCAAATTAGATGGTCCATCCTGGGACACTTTCATTAGATCGCCAACATACACCAGCTAGGTTTTCTCCAGAAAACGAGATTAAGTATTTTACTTGACTTTTCATTGGAGGGTTAATTTGTTTTTACCGTTGCGTCTTGACGTTTCTGACTCTGGTTAATTCTGTCTTTCTGCTTGCGGCGCTGCGCGTAGCTGCCACCCAAATTGTGCACTAGTTATTGGCTGTTGACGACTGTGACAGTCTGCTAGCTCCTCATGTAGAGACCGAGACTGATGATTAAGATGTTAGCAACATGCTCATTGACAACCATATAAAAAACGAAAAGATTGTAATGGTGGCCACGACTATAATTAGCAAGATCAACGGTCTCTGAAACAGCGAATCCATCAAAAAGTCTGGTTGATTAGGATCATCGTAGCTAGGCGTTAGTTTTGTTGCAGGCATGGCGTTGCTCGGTATTGTGACAGTTTCTCATGCTAGCAGATATCTGCTGGTTAATGTTTCTTTATTAAGATAACAATGATTATAGAAGTTACAGAGATACGTCAACACATAGACACAAAAATATCAATTCCTTGACAATGTGATAAACGTCATCATATTGACAAAGGACTTGGGGCGTTATATTGGGTCATTTTTGGCCTCATAAAAAGTTTAAAAAAATAACTTGAATTTATTTACAAATTTCTGTTATATACATGATATTGGTTAATTGGGGTTATCTTTCTTGGTGCAGATGTTTTCCAATGCACATGTGTAGATGCCCTACCATCATAGCAACAAAATTGCATTGCTATGCAGAAATAGACAAAATATGGTGTTTTTGGACAGTTAGCATGCAGAAATGAAAGCCTGCATGCGCATGTGACAAACAAAAATTCCTTTCTGCGAATGAACACTGGTATAATGATGTTTAAGCATGTGAAGTATTTGTTTGTTTGTTTGTTGCAAGCGGAAGCTTTCAAAAATTGAAGAGTGTTTAGTTAATTTCCTTCATAATGGCCCATTTTCAACCAAATAGCGCATAACAGTCAATATTCACATAGGAAAAGGTGGGTTAATGTATCCCCTTGCAATGCCATGTTTCCTAAACCAGTTTGTCGAATGAATTTGAAATTTCATATTTGCATGCTTCATTTATTCCAGATTACAAATATCACAACTAATTCACAATTAATCCCTGATGAGGCCAAATTGACCTTCAACGCCCTTGGTCCTTTTAATTATGTGTAGGTTTGCATATTTATATAGAGATTCTAAGAGCATCATTAATCTATTTAAGCATTGTCAAACACGTATCAGTATGTTGACAAATAGTTGTCTGGTCAACACGTATACTTGGACACAAATGTCAATCGACAAAATACATCTAGACCGATATGGCCAAGAGCCGTATATAAAGGTCTTGAAAGTGCTTGAACCCTATAGTGTGCCTGTAGTTGGGCGTGGGTGTGCCTTCCAGCGTCGGAGACAATTTGCGTCGGCCGGTTATACACCAAATCTTAAAATAATTGTATGATTGTTGTCTATAACTCAGGCAGGCCTTGGAAAAATTAGTTATGGATTGTCCACATCAAAATTAATGTTATAATCTTGTATATGATTTAATTGTTAAGAACAGTAAGAAAAGTATTTAATAAAAAAATATTTTGATACCGAAGTATATCATCACATTGCTATAGTTATAATGCAATGTTGCTGTGTTTCTAGTTACAAAACTTGTTCATGTGACATGCAGTTATAAGATAACCAAACACACCCTTCATAAAGTTATTTAACAGGGTTCATTTTATGGAACTCTTTTAAAACGGAGCAGGTAATGTCCTAGTGTAAGGTAGCCTATACCCTTAACTTAACTACCATCAAGATATTAATTAATTCTGCTAATTAGATGTAGATAGTCAACAAAGCAAATACTGGAATAAAAATGAAATGATAATGAAATATCTGCAATAATGTTTTTCTTGTTTCATTATTCACATATCTTTTTTTTAAAGAGAACGAGAATGTAAAGTGCATATGAACTTACATACAGCTCAGAACCTGCCTAGAAGCATACTGAAAATATGCACCAAGATTTCCAACCCGATATGTAATGTGAACAATTACAAAATTGCATTGTATTTGGAATTTTATATGCCCTGATATATTCCGAGTCATTACATTGAGCTAAAACTGTACTTTCATAAACTCCATCACCCGGTACAATTGATATAATTGTTCCATTATACTCCGACAGCAGCTATATAGTCTCCGATAATGCATGTATTTCCTTGCAGAAATGAATTTCTGTTATTGATATTTCATAATTCTCGGGCGATAATAGATAATTCTTAAAAAAAAATCAGAAAGTTGTAAAAATAATTTCTATTTTCCAGAATGATTTGATTACCAAAGTTTATTGTAAATATGAATTTTATTAGCTGCAAAAGTTTGCTGGATCGTTTACAGATGGGAATTTGAAATTGTTCTGGAGATTTTAATAGCCCCATGCTTCACACATTTCGAGGAAGTTGGGTGTGTCTTTCACCACCCCGCTAGCCTATTTAGCATTTTTATAGTTGTATGCCGACGTTAGAATCAATATTGCTGCTAATGCAATATTTGTGTGTTTTCTTTAAAACTCAATTCATCTTGGCCCATACAGAATTATGAATGTGTGTTATCTGATAACTAATGGGCTTTTTAGAGAGAGAGAGAGAGAAAAAAAATGGGCAGCTAGATTTTTTTTATTCATTTTTTTTTCTTTTCTTCAACAAAAGTACACGAAATGTTACCTGCCATTCCTCTTGGGTTTTAAATCTTCCATTTAATACACTTTAATATTCTGCTGAAAGTTTATCTATTGGGGGAATGGTCGGATATATACACCAACATGTCCGTCTTCCAATGTTTATTACACCAGGTGATTCGACTGTCTGGGTTTTACGTTTTATTTCGCCAAGGACAGATGCAGGACAATTGTTCCCTCTCCTCCCACATTTGAGAAAAACAGACAGTTCAAACCAGTACATCCCTGGTCCTAAAACTCGAAGCTTCATTTGTATGCCCCTGTGACATGAAGTAAATTAAGGGCACATTGTGTGGTTTGACTTTTGCCTTTGTCACCCTGCCGGTCACTAGCCGCTCCCTACCGACTCAGCTAGGGAGAATTTCTCTTTAGCTCATTCAGTAGAGCGTAAGACTAGTAAGCCAGAGGTCCCGGGTTCGACTCCTACCAGAGTCATTAAAAAAATGATTACCTCTAGATCTGTTACACTAAGTCTGTGTTTTGCTCGGTTTCTCAAATCCAGTAAGACAAGTGTTCATCACACTTCCATATATGGGTACATCTTGAAAAGTACTATAGCAGCATATCGAATATAGGTCACTGGGACCTTTATTTTTCACTTTACTGACTTTGGTTTGAAGTTGCATTTAGTTCCATAATTACTTTCGTTAGACTTTGTGATTCATATTACTCTTATAGCAGAAGTCTGACTGTCATCAAATTTCATACGTGGGATACAATCTTAAATACTACAGCAATATTTCAAATTCACTTCACCTTTTCATAAATCTTGATGTGTACTACACCAGTATATCAAATGTAGGTCACTGTGACCTATATTTTCCGCTTCATTGATTTTGAATAAATTTTGTACTTTAAGCTGTGTTTCCATCAAAGAGGGGACTAAGGCACATTACAATACTTTAAATTGTGTATGAAAGCCCATACTGGATAAGATCTTAACACTAGTAAAAGGGCATGAATCTGTGTTTCTTAACTAAGGATTTTACATAACCAATCAAAGTGACAGAAAGTGTTATTTAACTGGTTTATTAACTTGTTTAAACAAAATCTCAGCTGTTTATGAAATCACCTCTGAGATTTTACAAACAGGGTTAATTATGACAGAACTTAGTACCAAAATGGTAATATTTAGATAATAAAAGGTTTCAGTTATATTTGTATGTATACATGTCTGTTGGTGTAGAGCAGAATTTGAAATTTCTTTATGGAATGCCAGTTTTGTGATGTCGTTATGTCACTGTAACACACTTACAGTTGTGTCATAAAGACATTTATCACATTATGTACTGTGTAATCCAGTGAATATACTCATGTCATTTTTTTATTTATTTTTGCTTATTAACCCATGTAATATGACCTATCAGCCCTGTGATTGGTTGAAAGTTTCAATTGTTTCAATTGTGACGTCACGCCTAGGATAAGTACAAGACGTCACAGACTTACGCACTGGAGTTGAAATGGCGACTTTTTTACATTTCAAGGTTGCATGCAAATTGTCGTTTTACCCGAATAAATGCCACAAATCTTGATAATGTGATAAAAAGGATCTTATACACTCGTTTTCATTTCGTATGAGTCTTTCAGTCTTTCTGGTTCAATGGTCGTGAGTGGGATTAATAAAACTTCAAAAATAAACTTATTTATAATTCTCATGTAAAAAATGTTGTTCTCTCTTTTCAGTTGTTAACTGCAACCAGAATATATCAAGTCTGGTCTCACACACTGGTACAATAAAGAGTTCCAACTTCCCCAATCGATACCCCTCCACCACCAGGTGTCGCTATATTTTCACTGGTTCAGCCAAGGAGCGAGTTCAGATCCGATTTACAGACATGAACCTGTTCTACTCCGGTGGAAATAAGGACGATCCCGTAGAGTAAGTATTATTGACATGGTTTTGTTCATAGAAACAGTTTTTTACTCATTGGGTTCGTAGAAACAGTTGACTCTTGATGTTCATAGGAACATTTGACTCTTGACGTTCATAGGAACATTTGACTCTACATTCATGATAGAAACAGTTGACTTAGGGTTCATAGAAATATTTTATTCAAAGTTCATAAAAAAAATTGAGTCAAAGTCTATAGGAACAATTGACTCGAGTTTCAAAGAAATATGTTACTCCAGGTTCATAAAAACATTTAAATTTATGTTCCTAGAAATATTTTACTCCAGGCACAGAGAACAGTTGATTCCAGGTTCATAGAAATATTTGACTCAAGGTTCATAGAAATATTTGACTCAACGTTCATAGAAATATTTGACTCAAGGTTCATAGAAACATTTGACTCAAGGTTCATAGAAATATTTGACTCAAGGTTCATAGAAACATTTGACTCAAGGTTCATAGAAATATTTGACTCAAGGTTCATAGAAACATTTGACTCAAGGTTCATAGAAATATTTGACTCAAGGTTCATAGAAACATTTGACTCAAGGTTCATAGAAATATTTGACTCAAGGTTCATAGAAACATTTGACTCAAGGTTCATAGAAATATTTGACTCAAGGTTCATAGAAACATTTGACTCAAGGTTCATAGAAATATTTGACTCAAGGTTCATAGAAACATTTGACTCAAGGTTCATAGAAATATTTGACTCAGCGTTCTTTAAGGAAAACTAATAAATGGATCGAAAGATTTATTGGCTTAATTAAACTGGTTCATTGAAACCCTCCTTATTGAAAGGTTTATAGAAATAATCACAGAACAAGAGAGTTATTATTTTATAAAGGTTCATAGAAACACAACAAAAATAGCTACGTTTTCAAAATATCTTAATGTACAGAAATGTCCTAAATATTCTCAAAATTAGAAAAGAATATAATTTGAAAATTATCACTAAATTTTAAGGTTTTATGCTAAATTTTTGCAAATAAATCTGAAGATATTGACTTGCCTTAGGAATAATAGAAATAATTGACCTCAATGAGATCTTCATTTTATTGCTAGTTATTTGAGTTCCCTAGAAAATTATGTGAAAGTTGAAGATGATCTTATTAAGATGGGGGGAAAAGCAGACTTAAATGATGATAAATTTGGCAATGAAAATGGCGTTTCATTTTGGCCCTGAAATGAAAAGTTTCTCAAAGTTGATTTCTTAGTTCATTATCTTTTTCGAAATTATTCCAAAACAAACAACACAATTTGATATTTTAATTAAAATTGATTATAGAGTGTAAAAGAGTTTTTGTGACAGAAACATATTCCAAATGTTTAAGCTTACACATCTTTAAAAGAAATGCTGCATTTTTTTTTTATTTTTATTTTTTGTAAAATATTTGTTTCATATCACGGATTAAATAATGCTGCGGAGTTGTTAAAGTCAAGTGTTAGCAAAAAACAATTGATCGTGATTATTGGAAGAACAGTTTGCTTTTGTCGCGAACTTAGTGGGCGAGTAAGTGAGAAGGTGTAGCTTTAAATCATCGCGTGGCAATATCTATGTAAAGTTCTTATGACTTTGATCGCGACAAATAAAATCTAGTCGACAAAATGTCCGTATAACAACAGTTTTAAATGTCAGGGCTCTATAGTTATAGGTGCTGAACATGTTTTAGGCAATTTTTCGTCTGATGTTCATTATTCTTACGATGATAAAAATATGAGTAACGTTGTAAAAGATAAAACAATTTGTCACCTGCGATCCTTAAGAGTCGAAGAATTGGGATAAAATTTAAATGTGAACATTTCACAACCTTTGGTATTAACGAGTATGAAATGTCTGAGATTTCATTGACAATAATGGAGTGGTTTAAATGATCGTTCTGTACGGCTTCGGTCATAGGGTTTCACAGTCTTAAAAATCAATATTCTGGCGCTTTCTGTGTCCTCACAAAAAGCACCCATCTTGAGTTACATGAAGAATGATCCAGTCTAGACGGAGTACAGTGTACTTGGCTTGTCAAATCATGTCCGCAAAATGTGTTAACTAGTTAATTCCCCTGTTCTCTCGTCACCCCATTTTCTAAACCCCTCCCCCTACTCGTATTCCATTTTCAACCCTTTTCGCAGGTTTGGGGGGAAATTTGACCTGCTGTGTTCAACTGCATGTTTTTATTAGAGGTGACGCTGTCGGACCTCCTGCAGAAGAAGGGTTGGTTCTCTTCTGTGTCGTCTGCTTAAAGAACATTGAAGAAACTAAAATCGAACTGCTGGCAAAATTGCAACTCAATGAATTTGCAATTTTTGTCTCATTTCACTTCCCTAGGATGTTAAACTTTATACAAACAAGCGTTCAAAATATCCCAATTTCTCTCCTCCTCTTTTTTTCCCCCACTTCCCTTTGCTTTCACGTCCATGTTCTAATCCTGTCGATCCCCCCTTCTTATCTTTATTTTTAGAACCCATTCCCTTATTTCTCTTATTTTCAAGCCCTTAACCCTGTTCTTTCCATTCCATTTTCCAACTTTTTCCCTACTGACATCTCAAATCTTTTGATACTTTTTCCCTTTTTTATTTCTTCCATCTTTCAACCCAATCTTCCCCCGTTCTTTCCATCCCATTGTCTGACTCCTCCGTTTATCTGCTTTTCTCCATTTTTGTATGCCCACCCTTTCCTTTCCCTCCAAGACTATGAGACTATTAATAATTTTCTTTATCTGTATGAAAACCTTGGTTAATTCTCTCTGTAGGTTGGGGTACAGAGAAACAGTCATCAACAACCTATTTTGTTAATTCAATTTAAAAAAAAAAATTAATAATAATAATTGAAATGTGCATGTTAAGACATCTATGATGTATGTAAAATGTATTTAAGTTAGGAGAGGGCTTAATTAAGTTGTAAGAACTTGTGCCCAATCCTTTTTGTCATTTTCAAGGCAATAAAAATATGTTTCAACCAAGACTATGAGGTTGTAAACACAACGGTAAATTGTCTAGAGGTCATTATACTCACTCCCATTTCTTGAAAGTTGGCATTTATTCATTTTGAAGCTCTCTAATTTATCCTTCCAGTAAGAAACATAGTAACAGACTGCTAGGTACTGAGGCACACAGACTTTCCCTTGCTTAAAGAAACATAATTAGTAGCAGAATGCCAAGTTCAGAAGCACTCTGATTTCCAGTCTTTAAAAGACCTGTCACAGTATTTTTTTACCCCTTGTTCAAAGCAATTATTTGATAACAAATAATCTGATTATGGTGGAATTTGAAAACGTTTGAATGTCTAGGTTAAGTCAGTTTTGACATGACACAAGATAAGATAGACCACAGGCCCCATGGGTCTCTTGGATAAGATTGCAATATGGAGCTGGTTCGGTTGTACTTGTGGTAATTCATCAGACCGATGGATTGATTGTCCTACAAGACACCTTGTTCGAACAGTCATTCAAAGATTCCCCGAGTATATCGATCAGATATTGACCTTAGGCTATATGGACCAGGAACTGACCGGAATATATGTAGAAAGTATCATTCAGCTGGACATTGATCATACATCAGTGTTTTCTGGACACACACAGGCTGTCTCAACAAAACTATATATTTATTTTGAAAAACCAGATATCTTGATACCGCAGTGGGTTCTGGACATAAAAATGATGTATGGACATACGTCTACGGTTTCTAGACACATATGGTATGTGCACAATGCATTAACAGTTTCTGAGCATATCATTTGATGTCTGGGTATACGTTGATGGTTTTCTAGCATCGGAGGGTGTCTTATAGGGAATTAATACAGTTATGGTTTCTTGGTATGTTGATAGGGATTGGACAATATATTGAGAGTGACTATACTTACACAGACGTAGCTGAGGAAACGTTTACCTTACCATATCCAATATCATACTTTAGTAATTGACGAATGCAACCGGTCAGACTTAAGTCTGCAGAAAAGTTGTACTGTGGCCTCCAATACTTTGATAATTGTGAAGTGTTTAGAATTTGGAAAGAAGACAGATCTTGTAGGCATGACGACATATTTTCGGAACTCTTTGATGTCAAATTTCCAATCAAAGATCAGGCATGTCCTCAGGATTATGCTTTGCTAATTGTGAACTATTCAGAATTTTGATAGGAGAGTACTTAAAATTTGTTGGCATGGCGAAGTATTTTTGGAGCTCTTTTATGTTGACTTTCCAGCCAAAGATCAGGTAGTTTTGTTTAAGTATTTGTGGCGTGACGTACACACATCGACAGCATATTAATTGATCTAGAAGCATCCATTTTATGAATATTTGGACAAAATTATCGAACGATTAAACAAGTTTTCCAGTACGCATGTCTAACACTATTCCATTTGATATGTATTGGTGATCTAGTAAAATTACATGATATTACCTTAATTCTTATGGAACGGAACTTATATACATGTAGGTGTTGCAGTACTTATTAATTATTTTGACTTTTGAGAGAAAATGAAAATATCATTAATAATCCGAAAATGCAATATTTTGAATATGGTTTTCTAGCATCGCAGTGATTCTCGGGGCATACTGTTATTGATGCGTATATCATTTATTTTTTTATCACAGTTGTGACCAGAAGGATTCCATCACAGTATATGATATTCTGGATAATGTGGAGACGGTAATTGACGTGTTCTGTGGGGCCAAACTTCCTCCTCAGCTTATGTCCAGCGGTCCCTACCTAAAGATCGAATTCAACTCTATATCACACATAGATCACGTCCCTTTCTCAGGATTTAGTTTCCTTTACAATTTCAGATCAGGTAAGTGGACAAGATTTGACAATGGCATCACACATGTTTCGTTCATAATTTCTGCAGATGTTTAATTTTTATAGAATTTACAACTGGGTCAAAGAGCAATAATATATTTTCACCCATTTAAAAAAAACGTCACAGGATGGAAATTCAAATTCCTCAAAACTTTTTTATTATTATACATGTTGAAGTTCAAGGAAAAGGAAACAACTTAACCATCAAAATTGTCCAGGTGTTTTACAGTTTGTCCAATAAAGGAGAATCTCCCGGGTCAGATTATGCTAGTTTGTTCAGTCTGTGACATTTTCCACATGAGCATGAATATTAAGGAGATTCGAGGGCCAAAATCAATATAAAAAAACCTCTGAAAAAGCTCCTGTTTCAAGGTTACTGTATTGTTACAGTCTTGATTTGAATTTATTTTGAATTCATAATGAAAGACTTGTTGAACATGCATGTTATTGACATGAACCAGGTCAGGTCATGATATGAGAACTAAAGAAACACTGGTGAGTGACACAGGCCCTATGGTCCTCTTGTTTGTTATTTTTGGTCTAGAAATCAGAAATTGTTTCCTTTCTAAATAGCACTAACGGTTAAAGAAGTTGATATTTATGGTGAATAATCAGATACATATAGTAAGGTACATGTCTGAAACAGTTTGGAAAAGTGAAAGACAAGAATATGGGAGGGGGTCATGTCTACCTCTGTCCATTTGTAGAAAATATAAGGTCAATTACACTGCATTTCTTTTTAAATATTTATCAACAATATAACTTAATTCACACAAACACACACACACACACACACACACACACACAGGGATTGAAATGTACTACACTAAATGTAAATAATTCTAATCATTGATTTCATTCTCTTTCCCCCTAGATTTTGGAATAAACACAGGAATACAAAAGAAAAATAAAGGTAAGAGGACTCAAGTTGACTTTACTCAAGGCTTACTGTAATTATACCTGTTTTGGTTTGTGTAGAGTTATCTCCCTTGGACACTCTTTTGTGACAATTTTCAAGTATGAATTACCATTTCAAAAAGCATTTTACAGATTTTCATAATGCAGAATTTTCCTGGCAAGGAGATTATAATAAAGAAGTGTCTTAATCCAAGAGTTATTAATTTGATGGATACAAATTAAAATATTTACCAGAGGTTGAAGTGCATGAAAATTTTACTGTGTTCATACTTGATAATTGTCACAAAAGAGTGTCCAAGGGAGATAACTCTAACTTGTGTTGAGAATATTAATACTGTACTAGAAAACTCATTAAATGTCACGAAGTGAATATCAAACTGGTAAAACAATGTCAAATATAGTTTATCACCACAATTAAGTCACAATTTTTTTTGCTGATTTACATATGAACATATTTATATTATGCAAAAATGTGCAAAAGAATTGGGAAATTAATATTGCATTGTATGTTCTGGAATAATTCTTATTTTTAATCACAAATTGTAAATATGAGGAACTAATATTCAAGAATTGTGCAAAAATTTAATTACGTGTATTAATTTATTATCGATAATTGTAAAAATAAAGAATAGATGGAGAGTTGTGAAATAATTTCAATTCTATACATTAGAAAAGTAGATATTTTATGAACATTTATAAGTCATTGTAAAAACATTAAAGCAGGCTATTCAATAAATCTGAAAATATTCAATTTTTGTATTCAGTAGTTATGTGTTTAATATTTCATATTTTAGAATAATGAAAATAATTCTAAAATAATATTGAAATTATGAAAATAATTCTAATATTGAAGAATTATTTCATAGTATTAATTTACAATTTGATAACTTACAAACATTATATTTTTCAAAATTTTTGGCGTTGGTTTCTAAAATCATATTTTCTGTTTCAGATTGTTATTTTGAATATAAAAGTGGACTAACCAAAACAGGCAGATTTGTTTCTCCAAATCATCCAGGACTTTATCCAAAAGATACCACCTGTCATTACATATTCCACGGGGAACCAAATGAACAAGTCCACATTTTATTTCGGGAATTCGAAGTTAAAGGCAAATTTCCAAGGTTGGTAATGCAGTTAATCTTTCACCACTTTTTTTTTTTAGCTTTTCAGAATTGAATTCAATGGCAAGCATTTGTATTTAAGGACAAAAAAATTTTTTTTAGATATGATATGAAATTTAAATTCATTGAACACATTTTAAATGAATGATACATATAGATATGGAATGGTGTGTTTCAAATATTGTGTATATTTGCATTTGGATTCAAATGGTTTTAAAAACAAAATAGAAAAAAAATTGAAAGAAGAAAAGATGGCATGAAAACATTAGTAAAATATGATTTTTTGAATGAATCTTATGTTAGATATTTACTTCACTCTTCATCTTAAGGACTTTCCACCCTTCGTAATACACATGTTTTTTGTCACCCCTGGGGGAACCCCAGTGGGGGACTATTAATTTTGGTTTCAGTCCCAGATTTTGACCTCTGTTAGGAGGGCTGTTGAGTATCTTGCTTCTGTCGGAATATACCTGGCGCTAATTACAAGCTCTTGGATATCTCAGATATCAATTTCCTTTTTAAACAGGAATAGCATAAAACCTAAAGGCGGTCCAAATTCCCCATGGGAATTACATATAACCTAAAGATGTTCCGAGTATGAATCGGGCACTTTTGAGGTTCCCGAAGGGGTAAACTGTCGTATTATAAATTGCTATTGACTGAATTAGATAGTTTATGTCTGTCCAACGACTACCGTTAATATTTGCGTATAGTGCACACTTTTTTAAGGGGAAAATGAAGTGTCAAGAAAGGGGACGTACACGATACTCAAGAACAATCCAAAACCAGTCCTTGGTCGCGACCATTTCTCGTAAATTTTTCGAGGATTTTCGGAAATGTTTTGATATATGCTAACAGCAATACAACTGCTAAATTTCGTTGAATAATCCCTGATTGCATTGCCAATTTAACAAGTACGAAAAGTTGCAAGTTTAACTCATATAATACTATAGAATCGGATAAATAAACTTGAGTAAAGTAGGCTCAACTTTTCAGGACGTTACGTTGTGAATTGAAAAATACCACGTATCGGGAAACATAACGAAGAATTGCATCGGATTTATTACTCTGTGGTTAAAATGTCGTTCTTGGGTAAAATCTTGCTGAACTCTTCAATCTTGTCCGTAGGAATGTGTCAAAACGACATGGGGTAAAGTGGCGAAGTTAGCAAGTTCGTGTACCGCAAAGAGTCGAAGTTGCGTGATATATTATTAACCGGCAGGAATTTACAAAGTGACATCCATGAGAATTGAAACGATAATGATAAAAGTTTGAGTTTGAAAATTAGATATCAATGGGTTCAAAACAGCCAAATACATTCCGATCTTTTCTTTTCGAAGGAGAATTGCTGATATCACAATTGTTTGGTGTTCTTCATGTCTTGCAAATTTGGCTGTTGGCGGTCCTCGTCGGAGTGACTGCCTTTAAGCGTAACTACAGTACACATTCTGCCGATATTGATGACCGATTCAGTCGGATTTGCAGACGATCAGAAAACTACTTGGAAAAGTGTATTTCATAACAAAAAATAGTAGAAGATTTATCCATATATAAGATTGAATCTTTTCTGAAACTTATTGTTGTGAAAACAACATCGTTATATTCCAATTACCTGTTCTGCCCATGCAAGTGACCGTGTCAGCGCACAGATCTCCCCGTATTCAAGGTGTCAGTCAACGCTAACGTTATATTTGCGACATGCCTTCCTATTAATTCCCTGTGTTGCCATGGCTACCTGAACAGCATGTATGTATTTACACCTGGTAATTGTTTACTATTTTGATTGACAGGTGGCAATATATACGTTGTATTTATCAAAAATGATCATACAGAATGATGGGGTGACTTTCATGTCATTCTGACATATTTCTAGTTCTTGTCGTATTTTCGTGTCGTCATTTCCGTATTGCGTATCGGGCATTCCATTACCGTAGATTATAGTAACACCGGGTAAACAATAGTACACGTGCGTGACGTGATATGTCATCACCCGATATCGAGACTTAATTTGGAAATGTGTAATCACACGTACTTTAGAAATAAAGCTTATGATACAAAGACATTAATTAACTCAGGGGAAAACACTGAGATACGATCAGACGACTTCAAGAAGGTCGTATATGAGGCACATAAAATGCAGACTGATGTGTTATGTTTACCGACCTCACCTGTACCTATCACGTGCTAACAGTAGTTCACAAGCTCTTGGTCGCTACGACTTTTGTTGTCGAGCGAGTTACGCTCTGTCAGATAAATCGGTTCACAAATGCAATTACAATAACTCTGTGAAAATAGTGGTTTGTAAAGTATCAAGATCCCTATAAAATACAAGTGCATGTGCGTGCACGTAATAACAGCATACCATGCGATAGCCTATGGTTACATACATGTATGTACCTGACATGTTAATATACCATGCATAAGCAGGCTATAGCTATGGAATGATGTCCAAAGTGTACATGCATATGATTGAGAGTAATTTTGTTCCATAAAAGAACAGTAAATTGACAAATAAATATAGTAATTTAATTTATTTCCGTCGTTTTTGGTATATTAAATAAAATAAGTGTCATTGTATAAATTCCATCCCTCTGCAAAAAGTTCCGATTTTTTTCAAGGTATACAACTCTTATCAGGATCAAAATAATTGTAAAATGTAAAATAAATTAATTATAAAGACTTTGTGTGTATTTGGTTCAATTTTTCACTCTTTTTGTATGAAACTATGTGTCCTGTCTGCTTTTGGCTTGTATTTAGTAACTTTTATCCATATAGTTACAATAAAAAAACGCTTTTTGTAACATGTTGTAGATATTTTATGATAAATAAAATATTTGTAGGGTTAATTAGCTTTGTTTCTTTTCATTATTTTATTGTTGTAATATAGTTTTGAACAATGCCACACGCTCAAAAACTGTGAGTATTGAATTTGACAAAAATTCATTTTTTCGGTATTTTTTACAAAAAAATACCCAGTTTATCGGAATGCTTAGATTTTCATAAAATCATCTCTACATAGTGACATAACCATTATGTGAAACTTTCATTGAATTCTGATGGTTAATTGCGAAAGGGTGGAGCCTCCTTAATAACTTTCATACTAGTATGTATAGTTCATCATCGGGGAATTTCAAAGATTGATTTTTCATGTACAGGTATGATAACAGGAACGGTTGAATAGCATGTACTTTTCAAGAGACAAAGACACATTTGAAGAAATGTTTGCCCTGTCAAACTTTCTCCTTTCGCCGGGAAAATCCTAATTCGCCCAGTTTTACTTTCACCCTTCACATTTCATTACCATGTCTATTATGTTATTTTCTTGTGGTCACTGTTACAATGATAAATTCGCCCTCATTATGGAGGGCAAAAATGAAACTGCAGTGAAAATTTCCCGGTTTACAGTATTTCGGTAATGTCAACATAGCTTAAGCTTAACCCTTTCAACCCTATGTAACTAAATAGACTCTACCATGCATTGATCTGGAAGAGTCCATTATGGTCAACAGTGGTGAAAGGGTTAAAACTGTAGTGAGCAGGAACTGTTTTAATATCTCTTAAAAATCCAGGAGGGCCAACATTTGACTCATTCACCCCTAAAGACACATTTGAACACTTCCAAATCAAAGGTTGGAATAGTTCATTATGAAATTTCAGGGGTGAATGAGTGAAAACAGTATTTGGCTTTTAATATCTCCAAATTTCTTTCAAATCATTGCCAGACATGATCTTTTTATTTATTTTTCACAGAGAGAAGAAACTTCGCTTGAGCTCACAATCTGAGTTTGAGCATAAGAATGGTTTCATGAAATTAGCCCAGGGCGAAACGGGAAACACTCAAACGTTAATATCATACTTCAGATTACTACATAAACATAAAAATGATTAAATCTAAGAAAATCATCGGTATTTCTACCTGTCTGACCAACGTTTTGTTCAGGGATTTCCCTCTACTAGCGCATGCGAATAGTACACCATTTCTTTGCAAACAAAATGACTGGCCGTGTGAAGTAAGCGAAAGAAAAGTGTTGTACTGTGGCAGCTACGAAACGAAAAGTTGCCAAATGGTCAAAAGATAGTGTAAGGAGTACGTTACGGAATCATTATTGCAGGTGGGCAGTATTCAAAGGAGAAAATAACTGCCGTAGCAGTTAGTACGGTGCATGTATTCTTTCGGATAGCCGGTTAAGCTGAAATGGAATCGACAGAAATGCTAGCGCTGTTTGTTATGAATTAAAAAATATCTAAAACTATTAAGCTCGCTAGTATCTTTGTCTGAGTTTGAACACAGATGAACTTAGTTTAATATGTTAATGGGCATGTATTGGAGAGAGTTTACTTTGTGTTTCTATAATTATACAGTGGTTTATGCGAAAGGAAGGGATAAGTGACTGGTTAGTTTGATTTTTCCATGAGGCCCTCCAAGGGATAACTGTTGTGATGGCCCACGGCGTATTTTCTGGGTCACCGAGATACGTGTTATCTAAGTCCGTGGATTTACATAATTTATAATATTACCGGGTTCAATAAAATGGTATGATTTAATTATATTGCTGAATTAAACGATTATTTTTGTTTTTACATGCAAGATTTAAATTAGTACTAATATGAATACCCGGCCTCCTCTGCTCCGGCAACATATAAAAAAAAAATCAGAAAGGTTTGTCCCTTGGTGTAGGGAAGGTGTTTAGCCCCGTACCATCTGTACCGGCCACATTCCGGTACTAAATTCAATATATATTTAAATATATCTACTATATGTTTATGCCTATTATCATTGTTGACATTTAATTGTAAATGTATGACGGGAGAAGGCTGTGATAACTTGTAAAAACTTGTGCCCCATCCCTTGTTTAATTTTATTGGCAACAAATTTATGTTTAAAGCTAAATAAATTTAAATTCTGAACATTGGCAAGTTTGCAATTAACTTCTAATGATGAATAATTACTGTTCAATAAGTTTGAATACGGACTTAGAAATCATATAACTTGGTTTCATAGTGGGGGAAGAAGTTGCAGTTGCCTTACGGCCCCTCTCTGGGGGCCCCTTTGGAAACCGTTTCATCTCGCTCGCACCACTTGTGTTTACTGCCTAGTCAGGTGACGTTATCGGCGCTATTTTTAGCAGGGCTTTCCCGAACAATCCAAGTGGTCAAACTGGACATTTGGAACGGACTATGAATATGGGAATAGCGATGTAACATAAGTGGAAGTGCATACAATACATACATTCATTAAAAAAAACACGCCTTTTCACGTGATGTCCCTTTAGATACTGGACCAAACTTATCATTATCACCACTGGTCCCAAGTCTGTCATATATATGTTAGCTTACTCTTTCAGGTGTTTGTCTGTGGGCAGTGATGTTGTGACATTCTCAAACTTCTACGGAGTGGAGGATCGGGATATGCCACGATTGTGTGGAGTATTGAAGCCAGAGTCCAAGCTTATAGTTTCTGACAGCGATTTTCTGAGTGTGGTCTTTCAGTCTAATCTCATACAGGAGAGTTCTGGTTTTGAGGCACATTACAGTTTTAAGGAAAAAAGTAAGTTATATGAATAATTAATGTGTGTTGTAGATCTTTAGCAATACGTTGGTATGTTGGGATGGATAACTATATAAACCAACCCAAAAGATTGTTGCTGATTTCAGATACCAAAATCTGCCCCTGCAATTTTGTTCAGTAGCAAAATTGATGGTATGAGTAAAGTTCATTGAAAAGAAACATTTCAAATGTGTTTCTATATCATAAAGCCTGCAGCTAATATAGCAATTGCTGCTCATTCATATTTAGTGTCTAAATATAGAGAACATGGCTATTTTCCTTTTCTGATTTTGTATGCCATCATTCAACAATGAAATTTCACAGCTAATTCTTAATAAAAAAAATTAAAAAAATATGTATTTCATGATGATGAAATAAATCAACGATCCATCAGACGAGAAAATCTCTTTTTTTTTATTGAAAAGGAAAGGGGAGAAGTATTTTCACGGTCACATTTATGTTTCCTTCTTTTCTATACATCAATACATTTGCAGAAGGCTGTTTAGCCATCGGGGCTGGAAGTCAAACAATCATCTAGAATAGTGCTAACTTATTTATACTTGTCACAAATTGATATCGAGCAGTCAAAGTTTAAATATCTAATACATCAGTAATATCTTTTATTGTGGTTTTTGTTTCAGATAAATCCACACCCTCCAACACTCCGCAAAGGTCCAGAGCGGGGGTTATGCGGTCCAGTAGCCTAGCTATTATTGGTCAGTTGCTTATAACTGTTGTGATAGCAAAACACTTGCTGACGGTAGATTCTTGATCCAGACGACGCAGATGTGGCCATAGGTTTCCGTGGGAACAAATTCTGTGATATCTACGATGTAACACTGCACAAATAATTCGTCAATAGTGAGAACAGAGGGGATATACACGCCAGTAAAAAAATATCGGAGAAGTAAAGGGAGATCACTAAGGACGGGTCAAATTTTGCCAGACACGCCTCTTATTCTTTACCAGAAGGAGAAATATCTGTTCCAAAGACAAAATACTCAACGCTTTCATATCAACTTCATATAGAAGATGTCTTATCTGATATATTGATAACAAGGAAAGATAACTCTATCCCAATGCTAGTCACATTTCAGTGGCAACAGATAGGAGGAACTATACAAGGGGACAGAGTCGTGTGGTCTTTGTCTAAAAGACCATCAGTTTCACAGTAAACACAGAGAAATGACTCCACATTCTTGGAAATACATTTTCCAATTATTTGAAATTCAAAAGCAGTTCACATGAAGGAATAATGGGTCAGAGCTGTGAGATGTGTGTTTAATATGGATTGTGGAACACGTTTAAGATAAAGCAATATTTTGAAATACATTCCTGACAGAATGAGGCAGTAATTGAACTGATGCCGAGGACATATATATGTGAAACATCCATTTATTTGGACAGCCAAAAATGACTTTTTACCAAGATAGGTGGAAACGTATTGCCATAAGACTTATTGTGCTTTTCCAGATCATGGACTGGAAGCTTGTTATACTAAGTGATACTGCAATACACAAAGAGAAATCAGGATTGTAAACAAGTCATCTATATATCATAACTGATGTTAATACTATCTGTTGCCTTTATTCATCCTTTCAACGTTGTTGACCAATTCATGTCTCTACCTCATGTTCTCAACAAACCAACACGTCTTTGTAATATACAAGTCATCGTCATTTCATGAAATGAGAAATCACACCACAAGTTTATGCTGTAAAATGCCGTATGCCATGTTTGCAATGCACTTACGATGTGTGTACGTATAATTCACAAGCTTGATCTTATAAATATGAGTAGGATTGGGATCTCAAGTAGTGATGTCCTAATTCTGTCAAGATATATATACCGTAGTGACTTCCGATACAGTTTTCTAAAACTTCTGTGTTTTGCTGTTGCTCTTAATGATTTAACTTATGTAGGATTTTTATGTTTACAATAAACACTAGACATTAAATTGTGTAGTTTCATTTCTCCTTTTTTAGTGAGAAGAAAACTTAACAGTCAAAGATAGAATATAGTAATTGGCACTTCGTCAAAGAAAAATAATAATGGAGAGAAAAAAAAAAGAAAAAAATATTGGAATATGTTTTTGGAATCGGTGTCGTAAATGGATATTACCGAACAATTTACAGGAATAATTGTGTACCATCCACGACAGTTTTTAGTTGCTCTAGTACTTTCTTAATGCTATGTCTTGATTGGTTGATCGATGATTGGACAGAGTTATTCAACAGCAATTAGTTGATGGAATTCGGATAGAGAACGTTTTTACAGATTTTTAAACTAACAATCGCATATAGTCAACAAAGACACCTTGGTAACATCAATAAATAGGACCAAACATTCGTTAACATTGGCAAAACTATATCAACAAAACAAATGCTTCTATAACCCCTACAAAAAAGTGGGCAAAGCCTCGGGTTTTGATAGGATAATCCTTTCCTGCTCCACACTAGGCACTGATCTTAATATCTCGTGTTCCTAACCACGGCAAATGCCTGAATCCGACAGCTCAAGAATGCCCTGGAATAGAGGTCAGTGCTTGAAAATGAAAAATAGAAAATCGTGTGTCATGGGAACGTGCTTGTATTTACTCATTTAACCTTAAACAATGCTGGAATATGTACTGAAGAAAATTATCATGTATACTTTTCGATTAAAAACCAAGATCAGACCATTTAGTGAACAGAAAAATTGTCCTGGACCAAAACCAGCGATTTTGTCGAGTTTCCAATATGGCAATGAGACATTTATCTTGTGGTTAATCCATTACTCATTCAAACTTGCTCAAATTCGCTGTCTAGATCTGTTCAAACATTTAATCAATTGTTGTTTGAAGACGTCAGTCATATAACTTATCAACCAATCAAAGACCTTTGTCAGAGTCAGAGCTCGAGAAAGTGGTGTTTACTTATGTGAAGAATTTTGGAGTTGTTTTTTTTTGTCTGGATTACATGACTGAACAAATATTTTTGAATATGGAACTACTCTGACAGAAACAATCAAAAGTTTCATATACCTATCCTAATATCAAACTTTTTTTATGTTTAACAAGTATTTGTTTGAAAGCTGTGCCATATTTGCATACATGTTTAGCTTTGTCAGCTAAACAATATTGTCTGCTTCCTAGACTGTGGAACCGCGTTTGGGTGCGCTGTGAAATTTTGCATTTAAGGATGTTCATGTATCGGAAACAATTGTCTCCAGATATTGACATAGTCCTATTAGGAAAAACATACTATACAGTGTATAGTTTTGCATAACCTTACTAAACAGTGTATCGTTTTGCAGGGTCAAGAGTGGTAGAGTGGCAGATTTTCCACGAGCGTGTGCGTTTTTTTTGTAAGGAAATTGTATATAAATACATAGTATATCTGTTACACGTATAATAATGTTAATACTTCAGTGAAAACAAGAGTTTTATATATATAAATCACCATCACATTTCTTCATGTCTATTCTATATATGTACATAATGCTACACTGTACAGATGAAAAATCGCCATTTGGTTACGAAAGTTGATGTTATCATTGATTATGACTGATAATTTTGTTGCTGATGTTGTGAAAGTTGTATGCTATTATTGTTAGAAATTGACGTACGTATGTATGTACATGTATGCATGTATGTATGTTTTCATGGTATGTATGTATGTACATGTATGTATGTATGTTTTCATGGTATGTATGTATGTACATGTATGTATGTATGTATATTTATGTATTTATGTACATGTATGTATGTATGTTTTCATGGTATGTATGTATGTACATGTATGTATGTATGTTTTCATGGTATGTACAAATTGTACTACACTGTTTATGGATGTTTATATTTTTTATCATGGAAAAGTGTTTACGGATAAATGGAGTTTTTATTGTGTGTTTTAAAGTATAAGATGATATATGTGGTAGTTATATATAATGGAACACACTAGTCTGAACAAAGTAATAGAGTTTATGAAGCAGGCGAATTTACGTTAGCAGAGTTTGGAGTAAGTAATGTTCCACTGTTTATAAGAATAGGTCCACTTGAAGGGGTTCAACCTATTTTGTTTACATACAATTTCACCAATTTCAAACAAGTAAAATTTTAACATTTTAGAGATTAGATTTTCTGTGCCATTTAAATATTTATTATTTTTAGTATACATCAGAACGGAAATGAAATATAACAAACTTTGAGCTTGTGTTGAAGCTATGATCAAAGTTTTTGTGCAATTTTCTTGTATCGTTGTCAATAAAGTATTGACGTCAATGATTTAGACATATTGCTCCTTTGGAACCAATTAAGAAAGAGTATATTGCAATAGATGTTGCATTCATGGTAATAGTGACAATCCTTGATTTGGTGAAAAAAAATAGCATTGCGTTTATGCTATCTGGTTTAGTTGTTTAGGTTTTTACTATTATTGATCATGTCACAATTAAACATATGTCAAAAAGCAATATATCAATTTTTATATTAGGTATAAGCACATATTTCGGACGTATTTCCTTGTACATCTATTTTAATTACAATGTCAGCTTTCTTTTCTGGTTCATCTGTTTATTTTATTTTCGTTGGCTGTAACTCATTTTAACAGTTCTTGTGTACTCCACATATTGTCTGGAATAGTGGTGAGACGTATGATGACATAAACCGTTGTCACAGTGTTTGTGAGCTACATCTAGCGTCACAAGAATGCTGGTTGTTTATAAACATACACCATTCAGTTAGGTTTGAATGTGCTCTGTGATTTCGATACATTGTGTACAAAAACGGACAAATCAGATCCCTTTAAATGAAAAAAATATTAGTTATATCAATATTCGAAATTTACGCTGTTCGTGTAGCAATACCCAGTAACAAATATATGTGACTATTTCTAAACATTTTCTTCAGATCTGATGAAGGTGACAAGGAACATACTGTACTAGTCATAGAAACGGCACATAGAAACACTTACTGGTTGTGTAACAAGAACTTTTCATAAAACAAATATATGTGACATTGCATCTGAAAACTCAAGCAGTTTCAAATGAATATTACCTTTTACAATAGGTTTATATATCTATAAATCTGTTACACTTGCTTATTTTAATTGCATTGGTTTTTAGGCTTTACTTTCGATCTTTTATGCTACATAAACAATTTTAACAGTTTTAAATCCCTTCCACTTATGCCGTACATAGAAGTAGAAATGATTGATTCATAAAAATGAAATATTTGGCTTTGAGATGTTGATGTGAATTCTTTCGAATTCTGTGTAATAAAAACAATGGCCATGACCCCATAATCAGTTTGTATGGAATGATTGCATGCTGGGAAGATGTCATATTAATATTGCTGGTTAAAGATTGCTGATGTGTAACGTGAAGTTCTGTTTGCAGTCTATAGCCTAGTTGATTGATGTAGTAACTTAATTCTTTCACTTTTGCAGTGTAAATAAATCATCTGTCAGTAAAGTGCCGAAATTTATATAAAGTAGTAATTGTATCCCTGTACGTTTCTACCAGTCCAAACCCCTTTTCCTCTCTGTATTTTTACCCATACGATCTTCCATGATATCATTCCAGCGTAACATTGATCCTATCTGCTCTCTTTTCCTCACCCATCAACCCCCGTATACATCATTCCAATGCATTCCTTTAATGAAACATCTCTGAATTACTCCCCTTCTTGGCAGATATGGCAAATAAACATGAAAGTGTTTGTACAGTGTATTTCTAGTACTTTCATAAATGATAACTATTAAAACGTTAAATACTCTTCAGAATTTTGAGGTAGTTTTGCTTTTAACCCTTTCACCCCTATATAACTTTAGTAGACTCTATCATGCATTGATCTGGATGAGTCCATTATGGTCAACAGTGTTGAAACGGTTAACCAGTACTTGTTTGTTGTGATTACGCCAATCTGATAGTGTAAAGTTTGTCATTTAACAAGCATGTTTAAACTTCTGTTCCTCAAATCACACATTTTATTCTTCTACTAATTAAATACAGATATATCGAAATTTTCCTTAACTCTCTGTTTCCTACGACAGGTAGAAAACATCAGTTGTTGACATAATTCGAGTTTTTCACCGAAAAACATTTAGAATTTACTTAATTACATAAAAAAAAAATGTCATTTGGGGAAATTGGAAACCTTTTTAAAGTGGACAAATATTTTCCTTGTATTAATACTTATGAATAGTTCTACTTTTGTTAAAAGTCATTTGCAGAAAGATAAAAGAATTATTGCAAATTTGCAGATTCTGTTTATAAAATGTTTTCTGTTATAGAACCCTTATGTTGCGGGTTTTGCGCCCTATAAACTGTTCATTTGTTCCAACAAGATCTTAGGAAAACCTTACCCTTTGAGACCGACTTCTTGACTGTAGAAAAGGTGAATCAAGTTTTTACAGCTTAGTGTCATATTGGTACAGATATATTGTCGTTATATTTACGATTCCAAGTTGTGGTATTTATAATTAAACGTTGTGATTGTATGAAAGGCTTATTTCCCAGTGTTAATAAACGTGAGAGGTGAGCGATGTTCAATCATTGTACTCTGTAGCTTCACTTTACAATCTTTTTATCTATCTTTTCATCCGTCCTGTATTCATATTACCAAGGAAGCACACGTTACGTTGGAAGTGTATAAACTTCTTTTAGTTAAAGCCAGTTACTGTTAATCACTTCATTTTCGCGAGGTTAATGTTCATGATAGTTTACGAGGTATGACTCATTCACGCAAAAAAAAAAACTTTCACAAAGAGAAACTTGCTATCAATATGAATATTAAAACCACGTGAAAGTGAAGTGATCTACATTGGAGTCGGTTTGTTTGTGCTCTATTGGTGTAACATTGATGGAAAATGCTGATTCCGTCTTCAGGAAAAAAAATCTCGTTGACATTTTAGCTCAGTTCAATATTTATAATAATTTGAAGATATAAAAGGGGGATTCCCAAGATGTCTGCTTTGGTAGCAAGCATGTAATAAAAAGACGTAACTTCTACTGCAGTCGTCGTCTTACAAAAGGCTGATAGGTCTGTGCTGTTTTGTATCAAAATTAAAGAACTTCTCTGGCATATTTTAAGGCGAAATCAGAAGAAAAAAATTGTCTTTGTAAAATTTGTTGTTATCGGTTCAAGTTGTAGCAAATCTTTGATAGATATTGTTTTCATTTGCTTACCTTGTCTAACAAATCTGTCAAGCCTCTTCCTCAAGTGTGACAGCCAACACATATATAAATGTCACAAAGCCGAGCTCATGCACAGTCAATAGCGAAATTGATGACTGTACACCTTTTCCATCATTTTCACAAGTTTATATAAGCTTTCTTATCAAGAATCGTGTATATTCATCATACATGTTATGAACCTGTACATTATCCTCATCAACATGTTTATCTATTGTGTAAAAGCTTCCAATACTCGAACACCACGTTTTGCTTCAATTCTAGTCAGCATGATAGCGAGGCGTATGACTGAAGTAACATTACGTTAAAATGTGTATGAACTCTGTGAGGAGCCATACATTACTAGAATATATGAGAATAATTGTTTGTGCGATATTTGTCTTTATCAACACCATAGTTGAATGATTCATATTATAAATATGTAGCATTCATAATCGGATGCAAGGGTAAGATTGACAATAAATCTTTGAATCTCGAACAAAATACCATGTTTGTTTCTATTTATTTTTTTATTCTTTTGTAACTAGTGACACCCAAACGGCCATTTTGTCTGGAATTTTCCCAATTGCAAATCATTCACTTCTTGCACATTTGGGGAAAATTGGTCTGTATGTAGAAACTGTAACTGACACCAAAAGGAAAACAGATGTCGAATGTATTGAGTAGCCGGGAAGTCAGTTCCCGAGACAGATTTTTAAGGTGAAGTCTCAATGAATTCGCTATTTCCTTCCCTGGATCATGAACCGGATTATTGACAATTACATGTGAACTGTCTAAATTATATTTGTAATGTGGGTGTCGTGGTGTCTTTCATATAGTTTTGGATTCTTCTTGGCTCCCGTTGTCTTTTTGTATAAATTTTGCCAAACAGATTTATCCCAAACGTGAATGATTGTATTTTGGCCACATATAGCATCTGATGTGTTGCTAACTCTCTCAAACAATGATGATTGCATTTTGGCCACATAGAATCGCCCCTTCTCATACTTATATATGTTAACGACGGTGGTTGATGGTTACAGATTACTCATATCCCTTGTTTTGTGTTGAAGATTGTCGAAATTCAATGGGTTTTTTTAAATCGTCAAATTTAGATATCGTCAGATATCCCCATGACTTGCTATCTTACAGAAGAACGTATCCAATTCATTATAAATGAATTTGAAAGTTTCTTCTATTTTCTAGACCACTCTCTATTCTTTTATTTACTGGTATGAAGTTGTAGTTCTTTTCCACTTCATATTTTATCTTGGGTGATAGCGATGATTGTGTGTGTTTTGGCTGGTTCTTTTTTCAAAAGTACTTGCAATATACATGTTGTATGCCAAGTCAGTTACATATAGTATGAGTTTTAAGTTTCGCCATATTCGTTTTCTTCGTTTTAATTTAGTTTAGCTTTTTCTTTTGTCCAGTAAATTACCAAAGCTTATTTTATAAATCCAGAAGTAATACATCGCCCCAATATTTTCTACGACTTAATCAATTTCCTGTGTATCTGTTTTC